AAGGACGCAATGACCTTTTAGACGTGATTGCCAATTACTTTAAGAAGCTCCCTCTTTGGATCAGATTTCTGATAACAACGCGACCTGAATTAAACATCGCAGACAGGCTGAAGTGTTTGCAGCCCTTGCACTTGGAGCCAAGTAACGAAGAGAACTTGAGTGATATCCACCATTGCTTCGAAAAAAGCTAACTCACTTGTCGCAATATGGAAATCGGGAAATCCTGCTAAAAGAACTAGTTGCAAAGTCGGAGGGGATCATGCTTTATGCTCACTACCTGGTTGATTTTCTAAATAACAATGTCCCAATGACACATGAGCTGATGCAAAGCACCATGCCAGTAGGCATTTCGTCTGTTTACCAATGCTATTTTGAGCGTTTGGAGAAAGATTTACGTGAACAGTTGAAGATCACAGAAGACCAATTCCTGAATTTCCTGTGCGCTGTCGCGGCTGCGCGCGAACCTTTGCCCCTAGGCTTTGTATCAAAATTATTGCTGTCAGCGGGGAGTTCATCGTCAGCTAATCAACGGAAGCTAAGAAAAGCTATTACATGTATCTCGAACCTTCTTCCCATTGAAAATGAGTGCATCCACTTTTTTCACAAGTCCATCAAAGATTGGTTGATTGACAGCTCATGCTATGGGCATCACAATTTTACTTTGGTCAAAACAGAATGTCACAATATTCTTGCCCAACTTTGCATTGATGAACTTGATGAGCTGAAGCGAAAAGGTGTCCGCAGTGCACATTTCAGTGACACAGCAAAGTATGCGTTTCAACATGGCGTTACACATATGTTTGAATTGAGTGAGGATGCAAGAGAATGTAGCCTCGAAGAAGTTGTAACAAAGTATGTGTTGGACTTGGAACTGGTGTACGCAAAGCTGTGTGTCAACTCCTCTGCGGCCTCGGAAGATATTGTTCGCGTTCTGAAGCGACAGCGTTTCATAAACAGAGATTCGTTTGACAAGTGCCATAGAATGAAAGAACTTAAAAGTTTGTTATTACAATTACGGAAACATAACAGTATGTTAACAGAATTTCCTCAGGCCCTGTTTCAAATCCTGTTGAATGACGGAGGACGTACATTATCGTATGAAGCACTAAACCTTTTGGAGACTAAATTTCCGGAATTCTCATACATGGAATATTTGCATAAGAACGATCAAGAAGAGCTTGTTCAAGCCAGATTTCAATGTTCAACCGAGGTAACTTGTTTAGACGTTTCACCTCAGCTAGATTTAATGGTTTGTCAGTGTAAAGATGACACGATTCACCTTTGGTCACTAGAAACTGGTAAGCTCTTATGGACTCGTTCTCAGCCTGTTCAAGAACCCTTAGACTATGTGTATCTTTCAAACGCCTTTAGATCGATTTCACCTGAAGCATCTGGCTGCTTATCATTTTACCGTTCTGTGTTGTTTCATCCTACTGAGCAACTTGTATTAGCAGGAATTCTTAGTTATGCCTATTCTTTCGACGGAATCCTCAAACCACTTTTTCCCTCAAGTAAGTGTTCCTTCTCAGTTTGTTCCGTGTCTTCAGGGAGAACGGCAATATTAACTGATTGTCCTGGCAACCCTAAATGTGTAATTATGTGGAGTCTCATTGATGGATCGGAAACCAGTCGTTTCATTGGCACCGATGATGTCTTATCTTTTGCTTGGTCTCGAGATGGGAATCTGTTGGCAATTTCTGATTCTATGGGATGTATAAGTTTGGTTGATACTCTGAATGGGTTTAATCTTTTGGTAAAGACACATACCTCGCACAAGAGGGGAATGATAAAGTTCTCCCAAGACTGTCGTTACCTTTTCGGAGCACACTTTTCCGTTCAACCGTATCTGAAACACCATCTTTTGTGTTTAGAGGTGAAAGTAAACGACACTGGTACTATGTCGTTAGATATTGTACCCGACAAAATTTCCTATGACCCCTGGGAATACGAATCGTGTGCCGAGTCTGGTTTCGCGCTTGGGGATTCTATGTGGTATCCGTTTGAGAAATGCCCAGCCGATTGGTTCACGGAGTTTGCGTTGGTGCTCAATGAACAGTGCCTGTTAAGGGGTTCACCTGTAAGTGATGTCATTGAAATGTTGAGCATCGAGGAACGAACTAAATACAGATATGCAGTTTCTCAGACTGCCATGGAGAAAGCGGTATTTTCAGTTGATGGAAACACTCTTTATACAGTCACCCATCCTACTGGAAAAACACGAACCCTTCTGGCGTGGGACGTTTTGAATTTAACGTTAAAAGCCGAGAAAAGCGTTCATGCTGGTTTTGGGGACAACTGTACTCTAGTTGTTGTAAGGAAAGGTGTTTTACTCACAGCCTCGGATGGCGTTCTTGAACTGTGGAATGCCGAGTTGTCTGAGTGTGTCCAAAGATGGACTAATGTAGGGTTTATTAGGCGAGCATTCCATGTGACAGAAGAACGAGTTGCCTTGGAAAAGCTCAGCGGAAAGATAGAGAGCATTTTGGATACAACAGAGGAGGATATTGCGCCAATGACCTGTGGTGGAAAAGGTAAATTTGTTGCTTGCAATAGTAAAGGTCAGGTGGTAAGACTCGCCGATAAAAACTCACTGCAGTTACTTTGTGGCGACTGTGTACTCTGGCAAACGTCGTCACCTTGTGCCTTGTTCTTCTTCCATTACCATGGCACTTTTTCCCCATCCGAACGGTTGTTTGTGATTTTGGGCAGAGCCATACGTGGTTATAAATTTGATGGAGCCGTTTTTGTCTTTGATGCAGTTTCTGGAAAAGCAGTCCGCATGTTACCTGCTTATGACAACAGAAGTTATCCTCGAGTTGAATGCGCATTTCTCAGTGATGAGGAGTATCTCATATCAACCAATTATACTCTTCGAATGTTTAATATCAAGTCTGGTCAACTGCTGAGTGTGATTGCAATGGAAAGTATTGTATGGAGTGTAACAACTTCTCCTCCCAGACGTCTCGTCGCTGTTGGTCTTGAAGGTTCCAGCCGAGGATTCAAAATTATGCGGGTGAAACCAGGAGAGGGACTAAGAAAGCAATTTAAATGAAAGGTGAGTTTCAATAAAGATCAAGTATGTGATTTTTAGGATGGAAAACGATTGTTACTCCTCAGGGTTCCGACTGGAAAAGTACATATGTATATTTTCACGTGAGTTCACGGACAATAGCTTTTTTGGGGGCGTTTTACGGCCTACGGTTAATCCCAGTGAGACCTCTTGGTGAGGAAATTATGTTGCAGGCGCATTCTAAACTTGCTGAGCAAAATATTCACTACTACAATTTTTTCAATACCTTTTTCATCAGGATTGCGCCTGATAAAGGATGTGTTGTAACACTTTATTGTCTCTTCTTTATGTTGTTTTAAAAAGTTGCAGAGACGGATTTGCAAGGTAGTCAAACAACGTACTCTCTTAGCAAGCAACAGAAAGTGGCCTGTGTACTCTTTACAAAATTTCTGATATTTTTGTGACGTTTTTCTTCCGTTTCGCTGACTTTTGACACCATTTTTTTTGTCGCTAGCATAAACCTCCAGGAAGGATTCAGTCACCGGAAAACCCAGAAGATCGCATTTCTTTCAGATACTCCGATGCCCTCTGTTAGTCACCAACTTCGTCCCGGGATAGGCCTAAGACTCACACATGGACAACGAATGTTTTGATTTTTTAGATGAACTGAATAAGAATAGATTGGCAGAGAAATGAGATTAAAATGAAGAATTTTACTTTTGCCGCCAGGTCTGTTTGTATTTCAAAATAATGTAGGACAACTGACGAAATTCACATTAGCTTTGACGAGGGGAACGTCACGTGATATAAGGTTATATAAACAGAACCATGGCACAAGGTGTGCTCAAGGGATGTTGGTATTGTTTGTTGGTCTTTTATTCCAAACGGTAACGAAATGATCAAATTACTCTTAATTTGTCATTAGTTACCTCTATCTGATATATTCACAGCTATAGTCTTAAAAAGTGTTCTCCGCCGAGTTTCAGAGGGTTTCTTGGCGAACGAATTCGATACCAGGTTATCTCTTCTTCACGCCCCCTGAAGCGAGAGAGGTGAAAGGAGATACACTGGGAACAGGGGTAACGCCATAACTCCCATGAGTGACCAAGACTGAATTTCTCCTTATAATATTAATACAATATGAAGCAGACAATTGACGAGAATAAAGAAAAATGTCAACTAGGGGATTTTATTTGATCCAGTACCAAATTCTCTAGACTATCATCACGAGAACTATATGGCAGACAGTAAGGAGAATTACCAATGAAATCTTGGGAGTTAAGGGGTTAAGCAAAAGCACTGAGGTTCTAATCTGTCCTTACCTCCTCCCCGCTCCCCCCTCCCATTCCTTTCCCCACCCCCCCTTACGGCTAATTTAAAACAACCGCCGGCACTCCCATTTGAGAAGCTTCAGTGGAACTCTCGCCGAACGCCTGTGTCTAAGCCGTAGACAACGACTATTAAGAGGTGAATGTAGTTCGAGTGCACTTTCGCTTAAACCAAACGAGTACAGCATCCAAAGCTGACATAATTGAGAAAATCGGCCGAAAAATTGATCATCAGAGCACCAAGAGGACTGAGAAGTAATGAATTTTACAGAACTTATTTATTTGATTAAGATTATTTGCTCGACCAAAAGAGACATTTATTAGCTCCGTGACTTTACGTTTTCAACCAGGGGCTGTTTTGTTCGCAACTGGAAATGAACTTTTGAGTTTGTTGACCCTGCTTGCTCATTCGACAGGACAGGTAGAGAGATGACGCACCTTGCTTTAGCGCCCGCGATCAATGAGGGCGTTGATAATACATTCTGATTATGCGCCATATTTGGCGGCCGATTTCGAAAATGGCCGCTACGATTTCCCCTATAAATATATGGATACATGCTGTTTGAAGACCTTTTGCGTCCATTCGCGGAGATATATATCCATTACCATATCTTTACATCCCCAGATAGAGAGGCCATGATATAAGGCAGCAATAAAAGCGAAATAAACTCACCAACTGGGGAAGTGAACGACACATCATCTGCTGCGACTATCATAGAGAGAGAGTTCGCATGTCGTCTTTGTTTTCCATCGGTGAGGACGAGCTGGACCTCGATGATGAGGTGAGACTTATATGTGCGATTTTTTTAATTATCCACGCAAATAAATTTCTGCGTAATATAAGGCATGCGGATACTCTTTAAGCTGTTTCTAGAGAAGATCAGAACTAAGACAAAATTATCATTTCCATAACGTTGCATTACCAAGTCAAAATAAGAAGAAAAATAGCCAAATTATCTCCTGATAGAACTGCAAAATCGTTTGATTCGGGATTGAGACGAATACTAGGCCTGTGAGGGAATAGTTGTCTGGGAAAAGGTTAAGATCCATTTAGTAGGAAGTATAATTATACATGTCCGACAAGTAGATATAATCAACCTTGCTATCTAAAAAGAGCAAGGTACAATGAAGGTTTTGATTGATTGACTGATTGAGGGACTGAGGGATTCAATAATTTTCTGCTTTAGTAGGAATTTAAAGAATAAATGTTCTTCTGCAGTCAGAGAGTACTTGGATATAATGTACGATTTCCTTACATGTTCATTAGGGCCTTTTTTTTCCTTTTAATTTTAGGATTGTTTGTTAGCAGTATGCAAGGGAGAGAGCACTGTGGACTCTATTGCAGATAATTCTAAGAAAAATACAAATTCAAACCAAAACCGGCCATTTACAAATACAAAAGCACTCTTGAGGACAAAAGAAGTGGAGAATTTCAATAATTACTACTCACGGAGGCCATTTGAATCTCTCAATAACCGAGACAATTTTGATAGAGTTGTTGAGAAGAACACACATGTAACTTCCATAGAACGATTACGCAAAGGTGCATCTTTTACAGACACAGCAGACTGTCAAGGGAATATTGCTGCTGCAGTGGGTAATGGATGTACTGAACCCTTGGCAAAGAGATTTGCAATAGATCAAATATCAGTGTCTAAAACTCTGTCTGAAAATAGAACCAGCTTGTCACATTCAATTAATGCACCAGCAGCCCAGAACATTTGCAGTTCCTCCACATTCCTGCACCATGCCGCATTGAGAGATTCTTGTAATTTTGGACAGCAAAACTTTGGATCTAATTCAGCATTGCTTGAAACTGGTAAAAGAAAGGATCTTTCTCATAATAACTCTTCCAAGTGTAATCTTGCCTCAAGCTTCTCTACCAAGAAAGGAATTCCTGGAGATAACCAGGGTTCTTTGAACAGTCTTGGAAAAGTACCATTTCATGGTGGAAATGTTACAAATTCTGTTACCAGTACTTCTGCTTTACAGCAGAGATGGTCCCCAAGAAGCTCACCTGTAATGAATTATGAAACAAAGGGTTTTCCTAAGCAAGTGAACAGAACAAACTCACCATTGTGCAACCAGTCTGTAGGGAACATGTCCTTCAGCCTCAACAAAGACATGATAGGGAATAAAGCCCCTGAAACTCCTCAGATGCGCAGAACTTTGGAAGTTGCAGGCCTTAGTACACCACGCACTCACCAAACTATTACACCAGCTGTAGGCAAGACAGATGCAAGAACTCCATTTAGTGGCAAAACCCCACAGGCACGAAAATTTCCAGGACCTGCTGGGCTTCTACCAAAACTGGTAACTAAAATCAAGAGATTTAACTCAAATTGGGTTAATGTAATAGCCCATTTCTGAATTTCTGTTAGCCTTATTTTCAAAGCCAGTCCATGTGCATCTTTCATATGATTATAAATTTTCATTCACATGCAAATTACACTCATTTTCTTACAAATGGTTGAGCATTAGGCCTTGTTTTGAAGAAGTGGTTAAAGGTACTTCAGAGATAAGCTAGGCATTTATTTTTACATGTAGATGGATGATAGGTGAAACTAGTAAAATTCTGCTTGAAGGTCTGAGGAGTTGACAGTATTTGAAATTATTTCAATATTTGTTTGTCTTCTGATATCCTTATTGTTGCCTGAAGGTAATGCTTAAAGGTTGTCATGGTGACATGACTGCTCCCAGAGACTTCTCAGGGACCCTTCCCATTTCATCTGTCAGGGATGAGTTAAAAAGAACTCATGTCTACCAGTATAAACATACCAGTGCACTGTATTTATATTGTATGTACCAGTAATATTATAGTGACAAAAATTTTTATTTTGTTTTCAGAGTCCTGGTCAAAATCTGGATGATTCATCTGTTGTCTCACCACTTCCTTCCATGAGAAAAAAGTCTCCAACTGAAAACAAAGTGCAAGTAAGCTAATAGTAGTCTGATATTTACAATGGACCTTTCAAGCTTTATGTGCATGAAGTAAAAGTGTGCCATAAATGTACATTTTAAGGTGGCCATGTGTCATACCAACACTACTAGGGTGTTATTTTGTTCTGTAACATCCAGCATATTATCTTTTTTTAACTTATTCATTTTTTACCTTTAAAGGCTTCTCAGTCAAATACCTTAGAAGATGAAGATTTTAATCATGATCCATGGACTTTCATGCACCAGGAATTTATAAAAAGTAAGTATTACCAGTGTTTAAAAAAAGATATACATTATGTACAAGTACTTGTATTGTAGATAATTAAAAGGTACTCTGTGCCTTTAATTTTGCATTTGTCAACTTTCTGTGGCATTGGGTCAATACCTCTGATGTCCTGCTCATTCCAAACTATAATCATCCTTG